CACACTTGGTCTTATAATCACATGGCAAGTGACCTTTATGGTTATACCTTTGAAATTAATTGGTCTGCACCCAAGATCGAACAGTATCCATCCGGATAGTAAGCAAAAGTTGTAAGTTCAGGTCATGCTCCAGAAATATTTTCCAGAATATTCAAAAATAATTAATTTCTAATTATTAAATTTAATAGAAGATAGTGGCTTAATCACTTATCAGCCAATCAGTGCCCAAGCAGTCTTCGTTCCCTGAGCACTGGGAGTTCAGTCGCGGGTTCGTGCCTCGCTCGGACGGGCTGGCCACGTGGAGTTTTCCGGTTTTCTCCACATCTGTAACACCTAAATACGGGCCAGTTTCCCTTAAAAGACCTCCCGGAAGGCATCCTCCCTAGGCAGATCGCCCAAGTGTTGCATTGCCATAACTAAACAAACAAACATAATTACTTATCTCCAGACCCAAATTAAGTAATATCTTTATAATTAATTAACTATATAACCCAATTAAAATCTGACAAAATTGTTTATTAGCAAAATTAATGTTGACCAGTATATATAGTGACTATACAAGACTTCTAAAAGCAAGAGGCCCCGGACAAGCGATGCCAAACCCCGTGACCTGCATTGAACGTTTAGAAAATATTAGGTTTTCTAAATTGTGCAAAGTTTTAATACATATCAAAAATTGTTTATATACTTTATCAATGCAAGTTCCTGAGAATTCTTATAAAGGCCACTAATTAAGGAAGTTTTTTGAAAGACGTTCCTCAACTAGTAGCTCGCGAGCTACGTAACACGCTACTTTATTCTGAAAACGAGAGAAGGTTGAATATCTAACTACGTTCTTACGCAAAAACACATTTCGTGATTTTTCCAATAGAATATCTTTAAAAGAATAATAATATATGTTAATTAGGCATATTAAAAATGTAAAATTTCTATTTAATACGCCGAAATTCGATATAAGAATTTTTTTACGCACAGTTCCCCAACCAGTGATTCGCGATTCCACCGAGTCGAGATTTTGTAATGAAGTGAAAAAAAAAGGTTGAAAATTAGGTTATATTCTCAAAATATTTGCTTAGTAACATTTCTTAAGTTGTTATTCTTTATGAATAATTCACTTAAAACCGTTAAATTACGATTCAATGTATGGAAATTCGATATTACAGATCATACTCCAACCGGTAGATCGCGATCGACGTCGACTGGCAAGTTTAGGATGGACGTGAGAGAAGGTTGGGAAATACTTTTATTAAAAATAATGCTGATACTACGGGAATATTATTTATCTATTTAGTATTCAGTACTTAACAAAAGCTAAATTGCAGGACATTAATTAATATTCATATCTCGATTATTGTTGGCCTACGTTGCGTAAATGGCAGAATGTATAATAAACATGGCTTCTTTTCTTTTTTTGGCGTTGCATATATTCTGCATAAATTAATGAGAGAAAAATAATAATTTGAATAGAATTTTTTCGGTAAATATCGATTAGGAACCAGATAATTATGATAATGTAAGCGTAGCTTGTGTGTGTGGTATAACGGTGCCAATGTATAATTAATGCTCATAAAATAATTAGAAAATGTTGTGTTGAATTGCGTATTGAAAGGTACCCTAAATCGATTTTTCCACATGACAACAACAGCAAATATCTTTATCATTCGATACCGAAAAATATAGATTTAGTTTTTTAATTTATATGCCAAGTCTAGTGTTCATATAGGACGCCATTTTTGTTTTGTTGTTGTGTTTTGCGTGTGTATAACTGAACGGTACGGCCTTGTATCGAGTTTACATTACCGATCCGTAGTGTACGCGTACACTACGCTACGATACTATAAAATACAGTAATAGCTATAGTCGATCCCCCTATAACACTGTTGATTATTCCGTTTTATACGAATTCCATGTTGTACGAGTCACTTAGATTTTACAAATACGTATACCAGGCTGTGAAAGGATCACGTATTTGTAAAATCTAAGCGACTCGTACAACACATGGAATTCATATAAAACGGAATAATCAACAGTGTTATAGGGAGATCGACTGTATTGTATAGTATCAGCTTTATGCGTAATGTGCGCATAGCATATTACGCATAAAGCTGATACTATACAATAACACTGTGTCAACAAGCACGTACTGTACTATGCAACAAGCAAATACTAATCACGCACTACACTAGGGATGCTTTTGGTGTTGCAGCACAATCAATTTACTATAAAATTGTCCACAAATCTATCCTGAGTAGTATACATATTCTTAAAATCTAAGCACGCATTATGGTATGTTATGCATTTATGCTACATTTACACTATAGATTAGAGACTAACATTACACATACACTAAGTAACAATCTTGTAAAAAATGAACATTAATGTTTATATACTTAAAATCTTTTATAATATACAAACACATTAATCTACTGTATATACAATTTATGTAAATATTACCGACATTAAAGTGTTTACAGTGGATATATAGATATAGTTTTATACTTTACCAACTGAACACACGAGTTAAACACTTAGAACACCTTACAATACTCGGAATTCAATAAAAAAAACAATGAAAATCCGCCATTTTTATTCCAAAAATTCCTTACAATTCTAAAGGATTTTTGAGAAAGGGTCATTCACTTATTCCTTTGATCATCATTTATCTTTCTTTCTTGCCAGATGTCCCGCCCAATTTAGCTTGCCTCTTCCAGTTTTTTTTTTTTTTTTGTGTGCCAATCTTTTAACAAATTCCAAAAAAGATCTCGAGTAAATTCCATGTTGAAACCTACGCAAATCCTCACACAAGTTACTTTAAAAGTTAGTATATTAAATTTATAAACGTTGTATTTCGATAAGTACCCTTCAATTTACTTACTTGAAAAAAAAATTAGCATTTAAGTGTTGCAAATTGCTAACGTTTGCAAAATTGAAGAAGAGAGGAGAGGTGCTTTAATTCGAAAATTATGTATAGAAAAACTGCAGTGAAAAGTAATTACGTATCCAATTTTATCTGGTGTAGAGCCATAATTGGCGAGTTTTTTATATATATAGTCGTAAACACTAGAAGTGCGATTAAATTAAACACAAATACGGTTTTTATGGGTTTAAAATTTGCTAAATATGGAGTCTACGTTAAGTAAGTTAATGTGTAGACGTTGTGTCTAGACTGTGGATGTGGCAACTTCTGGAAAAGGATGTAAAGAGGGAGGAGGAGGAGGAGGAGGAGGAGGGGAAAAAAACGCCCGAAATGATTACGAAAAATGCTAAAAGGTCGAGCCAATTTTCTTTGTTATCGCAAAGATTAGCCTACTCCAGTTATCGAAGTAGAGATAAGGTGGGCCATTAATAAAATAAACAACAAACGTTGGGCGTAGAACTACTGTTTTGTTAACGAACGATGGCCGCGAATCATCGATACAAACTCGTGCTCTAGACATGCGATAATCTACCAAAACAAGTTTATTTTCGGTCATTCACCCCATCTTCGGTACCTCTTTGTATTAACCTGACAAACTGGACAAACTTTACTTTCTTTAGTTGCTTAACTTTCGATGGGCAGAACAGAAAACAGCAGCGCTTTTGGGCATTCTTCTGTAATTAATCTTGGTAATGTACTGTGCACATACACACACACACACTCTCGTGTTTAGCTCGTTCGATGGTTCTAATGATTTTTCTCTATCATTTACGGATGTGATCATCATTGTTTTTAATTATCTTCAATGCAGAAATGACGAAAAATATCCTTGTAAGATGGGAGGAGCGCGTTTAATGTGAATTGCGCACGTTGCAATCATGCGTTTTACATCATCGCGTTGCGTGTGGCCATATTTTAATCACTTCGGAGACAACAGCCATAGTTTAAAATAATTTAAAGGGTTAAACGACCTAAATTTACTAGAAAATCGAGCCGAAGATCGTTCCAAGAGATTCAGAGTGCCTGCTTTAAGGATGCAAAGGATTTAAATTCACTAGAAAATAGAATTAAAAACCATCCAGGAGGTTGAGAGAGCCAAGATATAGTGCTTTAAGGATGCAAAGGATTTAAATTCACTAGAAAATAGAATTAAAAACCATCCAGGAGGTTGAGAGAGCCAAGATATAGTGCTTTAAGGATGCAAAGGGTTTAAATTCACTAGAAAATAGAATTAAAAACCATCCAGGAGGTTCAGAGAGCCAAGATATAGTGCTTTAAGGATGCAAAGGGTTTAAATTTACTAGAAAATAGAACTAAAAACCATCCAGGAGATTTAGAAAGCCAAAATTTAAGTTATTTGTTTCCCAGAAATGCAACTACGTGACATCACGATAATAACTTTAGAACAAGGGGGAATGAATTTATAACATGATAAAATTCTTGTCGACATTCTTTACAAGATTATTTTATATCCATTAGTCACGGTTATTTGGCATTTGTTCTATAAAGGAACAGATGATATTTCTTTCCTTTCTAACAGATTTCATGCCACCATATTTGCATAAATGCCACAACAACCTTTAAACATTCTGAATTGCCATTAATAAGATCTATGCTCTGAATTTAATTAAGTTTACTTAAAACAAGATTAAACTTTCAGCAAACATCAGCCGGCCCAAAGGGCAAAAACCCTTTCTGAAAAACAACAAAGGAGTCATCAATTCTCTTATTTATTTTCTTGCTGGCCCTATACAAAAACTGTTATTTTCTACTAAGTTTGCCTAAAAACTAACCAAACCTTTCCTACACAAGATAACAACATCATTCTACACCTTAGGGTGTAATATTTAAAGGAAGCAACATCTAGTTTTGATACAGATGAAGGCTTTTTCAGATGGATAACATGTATTAAGATAATTTACTTAACAGGAAAATAAAAAAAAAAACAGAAAAAAGCAGCCAAAAAAATCATTAAATCTTCAGTCAATTCAAGATTATTTTGAACTTAGAATCAATGTTATTAAAGTTGAATGTATGCACCTAATTAGCTTAATAACTAGCCAAGGATTTCGTGCATGAAGAAGTGTTATAATTCAGTTGTCATTTATCTTTATGAACAGTTAAATAGTAAAAAAACAATATTTAATAAGTTATTTATTAAGCTGCCGAGGAATTTATTCCATGAAATTTCTTATTTTGTAATAAATTAAAAGTTTAAACTTATGGTCTTAAGCTATAACATATAACAGGCCCTTTCCATTCCACCAAATATGTAAAGACCTAAGCTGCAATTTGTTTAGCTTGTGTGTATATCAGGCCCTATTAAAATATGAGGCTTTAAATTAAATATAAGGCTTATCAGGATTGGATTTAGACATGTTGTAGCCTTAAGCCCTTCTCTTCTACATAATGATTCTATATATGTAAAAATGTGAGGACCTAAGATTTGGCTTGTGCCCTGGTATATACGAGAATACTACATAGATACAAGCGTTTTCAAGGAAGAAGAGTACATATATATATATTTTTAATTACATTCGCATCACGTTTGAAGAGGGGGGGCAAAAGGCACGCTATTGGATTCGTCTGTGTCAAGGGTAAATCAATTATCAACCCTTACATCAATGCACCTGACGATGCAATAGCATTTTGCCTACGATTCGAGGTTCGTGTGTAGGCAAGTTATCAAACTATAGACGAGGGGGGGCAGAATTGTTAGTTTACAAAATAACATTAATGGCGTTGTCGTCGTCGTCGTCGTCCTTGAGTTATTCGGCGGAGCGACAAGAGCCGGCGTTTTGTCAATGTCAAGCCATGCGATAGAGTTGATGGAAACAACGCCCAAGACACTAGCACTTGTCGACCCCGAGGGACAGGAAAACACCGGCTGGTATCTCCCCCCCCCTTCGAGTCGCAATTCGTGAAAATCCTTCCGCATAGAAACCAAGATGGCCGATCAGACGAAATAAACCTCGGGCAAGATTTCGTCACCAAAGCAAAGCCGACAAAATATTCCAGTTACGTAAGCAAACGAAGACAAACAACCAAGCGAAGCCAGTGTATTCACCGTCATCCTGTACGCGACGAGGAAGGAGGAAGTGAACTCAAGGACGCGTGGCCTGGCAATCTGCCAATCGAACGGACCAAGTAAACAAGACTTGTTTGTCTTGGCTTCGATCACACTAACCTTTCGCAGTTCAATAAATTGGCCCGTTCCCCTTTTCCCTTTGCTCGATCCTCCCGAAAATCCGCGGCGTTCGAATTGGGCACCGAACTCCCCCCCAAAAATAAAATCTGCCGAGGGGAGAAGGGGAAGAAAGGAAACCGAACGGAACTACCAAGCAGTTGCGCGTGTAGCGGATCCAATCGATCGGGTATCCGAACGTAAAATGGGCATTACTCTACGTGCCCGGGGGCATTTTTTTTACTAGAGAAAATGTGTAGAAAAGATGCCCCACCTTCCCAGCTGCAAACACAATAGATACAGAAGAGGAAGCGGTTTTTGTATGCTCTTTCACACCACACCTGAATGCGTGACAGTTGACGAACGAGGCCCACTGGGAACTTTTCCCAATCCCAGAATCCATTTTGGCCACTGAGAACGTAATATAAGACCCCGGCACCCGTGGCATATATATCTTTTGCCACATTAGGTGATAACGCGAACAATTCACGTGACCGAATCGCTTCCGGGATGTAAAAGAATCGATATCACATTCCGCCACTCAGACAAAACAGCGGATGGCCTTCGAGAGGGGGGAACCACTGTTTTTTTTTTTTTTTTAAGGATTCGGAACACTTTCTCGTATAGATTTATGAATAGATAAACGTTATTCGAACCCGGAAAACGTCCCAAAGAATGCTATCTTCGACCTCACGATAAGGGTTTAAAAAAACAACAAGGGAATGCCCCCACGAAACTACATATTGTATGGAATATTCTATACAAAGATGGAGTATTTCGAGTTAACTACAGGTGAACGAATGGACTTTGCGGGAGTGCCAAACAAAGAGTTGACCCGGCAGTTGAACAAATACCACAAAGGATTCACGCACTCTGACCACCAGATTTGTCAGGGGGTCCGATAAGAAAGTCTTTACCCCATCGTGTGTGTACAGCCTCGAGCTATTTTAAACAGTTGTTTATTATTAAAGCTTATTCATACAATAATCAACAGATTATTTTTAATCGTGGAGCTTCTTCTTAGACCCATATTTTCTATGGTTAAAAAAACGACCCATCGTCTACCACGATGCAAAAAACGGAGGAGGGGGGTTTAAAACGTACATACGCGGTGAGAAAGTTCCTACAAACACGATCTTAAAATACACACGAGACTTTCTGAGAAGGCTAAAAAAAAATATAATAAAAACAGTGATGAATTCCAACTTAATTTTTTTTTCTTATCCCTTTGGAAGCCTCAGAAATTCTCGCAAAATTGATGGGGTGGCATAAAAAATTGCCTTGGCGACACTAAATTTAGACTGGAGCAAACGAAATATTCGTTATTACGACACTAGCAATGGCACGAAATGCTGTGTGACGTTATATAGACAGGCAGTTTCGCAATTTGCAAAACGAAAGGATGGACAACGTAGTAGACGAAGGCCAACACCCCCCTCCCTTCTCTCTCTGTTAGGCTTTTGTGTGTCGAAACTGGAACACCTTACAGGCCGAGAAATTCCCACAATGCAACTGGATTATTTATTTTACCTCTACGCCAGGCGGCAAGGACAGACGGGTACACCCCGAGGACAGTAACATCTGGCACGTCTGTTTTCTCTCTCACCTGTGTTTACGGGGATCTTAACTTTACCCCTACGACCCGTACGAGTGATATAGTATTAAAAGGGGGGGTGTAGTTAGAAACGCGAAGAACTCTTACGCACCGTGCATCGATTATACCATGAAGGTCGTTGGTAATAAATTAAATCAAGGCACCTCAGATAAAGAGAGAGGTTTGAAAGAAGAGGGAAAAAAAAATGCAACTTACCTGTTTCCTTTTAAGTTTCTGACAATGTTCGAACCTTGCTTTCAATTCTTGCAGTTGTTGCCGGTATTGTTTCGAGTGTTCGTGTTCCTTAGATAGCAACAAATAACACTTCCAGTTAAGGGAATCGAAACCCCAGTGACAAGTGCGATTCTTGGCGTGGTGAGTGTGACACACAAATGTTTGGGGTGCAAAAAGACCCCTGCACTCCGAGCATTCGATACAAGGCATATTAGGCGCCAGGTATAAATCGGGCCAGAACACTCCCTGAGTTTTACCGAAGCACTGATGGTACACTTTTATGTGAAACGTGCATTTATCGTCCGCTCTCATGTTGGATTTGGGTGGATTGCTATGTAGAAGAGCGGAACACAGTCTCTCCGCATCAGTTTTAGTGATGAGTCCGCAACTCGGGGCACTAAGGGGTAGAATCCCGGTGACTTTCAATACCTCTAACTGTTCGGGATTGCATCTGGAACAGAATATATGCAATTCGTCGCATACCCCGTTTATCTGGTGCAGGCTGAATTCCCGCAGTACCGTGTTAAGTATTTGAGGTAAGCATAAACGCTTTTCACCTCCGACCTCAAAACACGATATGATCTCGGATTCTAGTCTTGTTTCCGAGCGTTCGCACCGACTTTGATCGGGTGGCGTGAATATGGGAGGTTGCTGAATGGGAAATGGCGGTGGTGCCACGAACGTATCGAAATCGCTGCATTTGTTAGTCGTCGATGCCTTTTTTTCCGAACACGCAGTCTTGGCGGCATTGCCTGATACCATCTTCTCATCCCACATACCCATGAAGCTATTTGGGCCCTGTAGGCTTGTAGTGGCTGCTGCCTGATAGCTTTTCAGCACTTTTTTCAGGTGAGGTGTATATCCTTGAATCTTCTGATCCATATTGACTAGATACGATGGAAAATAAAACACGCAAACACCATACTGGATGCCTTTACGGCTCAACTATCACACGTCTGTCTCTTGTGCTCGCAGGCTGTGACGATGGCTGGCTGGTGCAGACACGTACATCTCCCCTATGCGATCTAACAACCAACCAGATTTTAACTAATCCAATCGAAACCAATATAATATTATGCGGCTCTTAAACGTTATTCCAAACAACCGAGTACATCGTTCGAACATTATCTAAATCGTTTACCTCACAATCGTTACTCGACTCCTTCCCTACACTGCAGTCAACACAACGATACGAAGCGGAATGGCGACAGACGTCTGCTGTTCTGCTAGTTGACGTCACACCCTCGGGCTAATCAGACGATCACGTGACGTAGAGGAAGTACCGCTGCTCGCGCAGCCATCAGCACGGCTGTGTGTCTCTCTCTCTCCTGTTCTCCTGCCTCCGGGTGGTAACTGCCTGGCGCTTCCTGGACGAATGGAAGACTCTGTTTGTCGGCCGATGTCCGACGGCCGGATGAGAAAGGGGAACGAAAAGATCGACGTGTAACGACGGTAACACCAGGCAAAGCGCTGATGGCGGCATTGTCCTCCAAGCTGATTTTACAGCTACCATAACCTCATTTTCCAAAAACTAGGACTTTCACGTGGTCACCAAATGCTTCCAAAACTCGTTATATCTTACCAAAGCACCATTACTGTAACTAGGTCTTCATTTTTATTCCGCCAACGTAATTCGATTGAAGGGGGGGTTTCTCCCGTCGTACGCTTCGCACCCCGCCTGTTGAATTCGTTCGTCTGTTGACGTCACGCAACAGGTGGGGGACGATGATGATGATGACGACGACGACGATGATGACAACCGAGTTAACTATTTTTATTACCATTTTCCCTCTTCCCCCCTCCTTCCTCCAAGAGTAAATCGATGGCAGGGGAGGGGGTGCCACCACGTCTCTAACATTGTCTTTAATACTTTTTAAACGTGAAGATTTTTTGGCTTGGTTGTACAGTACGCTATTTACTTTCTAATTCGAACGTCGACACGTAAGAACCAAAATTAGCTGGAGCGAAATTAGCAAGGAACCCCCCCCACGGGCGCGGTATATAAAAGCGAAAGGATAACAATTGAAAGCACCTAATTATAGACGATCGAGTAACACTCTTCGAGTTTATCGGGGTTCGTGTGTTTAATGTTAAGCTAAAGATCGGTTCGGGAGAAAGGGGAGGGAGATTGTTTTATATCCATTAAACCCCATAATCGATGCGTCGATAGAAATCTCTGCACCTGGTACGTGGTAGGGTATGAAACGAACTTGGTGCAACCGGCCGTCGACATCTCTTTAGGTTAATCACTTTGAAAGAATGCTCAGAGTAAGTGGACTGGTTTCCCTCGTGTGTCTCCTACTGCTCGGTCAGGCAAGATATGGCCTGAATCTAGAAAATCATCTATATGTTGAGTCTCTAACCTGTGATCCAAGGACGAATGGTTCCATTGAGAAGGTAGTCAGACGAGTTATACGTGTCCGAGAGGTATTTTTTTTTCTCTCCCCTTCCTTTTTAATGGGGTGTTGTGTTTTTTTTTTTCGCTCCATACTTAACGAAAATCATCAATTTCTGCTTACATTTAAATTAGATTGTTATCAATTATCGAAATTTGCATACTTTATTATTAAATTTTAGTATAATAAAAAGATCAGCAGAAGTTTATTATCGTTTCGCAATGCTAATTTATATGTCACGGTTCTCTAACGATCGTTTCCGTTTAGATAAATTGTAAATTAAATTCTATGCTGCTGTGGGCTGTTTTTTTCTGTCTTTAAAATATGGCAGGGCACTCCCATTAAATGGTTATCCATTTACATTTGCAGGGATCTTCAATTTAAAGGGGTTTTTTTGGGGGGGAGTAAAATCCAATTTTAGTAAGATTATAATGGATTTCTCCATAACTGGAGTACCCAATTTGTATAAAATGATTCTGAGATGATCCTGATAACTTGAGAATGTAATTAAGGCCCTCCAAATGTGCATATTGAGAGTCTCGATTAAAGCGTAGAATGGCACAAATATAACTGCGAGATTCTCAACGATAAATTGAGTGCCCAATTAAAGATTTAAGAATGATTCGAAATTAGTTAAAGTTCTTTCATTAACAAATAAACAAGGAACATGTGACTTTCATTACATCCTTTCCTGTTACTTCTTCCTGCCAGGAAGAGGTGAGTAGGCTACAAGAAAGAGAAGAAGGTACTCATGACCGGACGAGCAACACGATCGTTCAGTATGCAGTGTTAAGTCCAACTCGTAGCTATTAATAAAAAAAAAGGGGTCCTGAACCGGATTCGATTATGATCCTTACACATTGCTGACGTTATATCCTTACAATATTCTCCTTTTGTAGAAACAAGTAAGTCCGGTATATTGCAATACCGAGTACAAAAAGATGTGTGTGCCCCCGCTTTAAGTCGTTGGTTTCATCAGCTCGAATCGTAATTGGAGGATTTAAATTTTTAATTGGAGGTTTAATTATACAAAAATTAACACCAAAATCTATTAATTAGTTGAAATTTTTCTTTTGTTATTCGAAAAATTTCAAGAAATTCCACGTGTGTAACTTTTTAAAGCCAAAATATGATGGCAGAGATCCAACGGGATGCTCCGAGATTACAAAAACAAGAGTCACCTCTGAGAGTGTTAATTTGGTCGAGAAAGATACGTCATACCTATATAAAATATTGTGACTCTTCAAGCCTTCTTTCCTATCTAAATTGTATAAAATTATACCCCTAATTTAAGTTGTAAGCATGGATTTTATGTGTAATCAATCTAAGCTATAATCCGAGGCTTTAAATGCTTTAATATTAAAAAGCTGTGACATTTAGGGGCCTAATGTGTGTGTGTCGATACGCTGTTTTTAGTCAGGCAATAACTAGGGCATAGATCTTGATACTTTAACGTAAATTATGAGTCCTAAAGTAGAAACTTAAGCGTTGGTTTAGGGCCTCGTATATGCATAAATCGATACTTAGTTACTCTAACGTTATAGAAACTTATATAAAAAGGGCCTCACAACTCCGCACACGGTTAGGGCCTCGCAAACAAAATGAATTATTTAAAATATTTCTTTAATTACCATTGGTTCCTTAAGTTATCTCCGGGCTCGGGGAAATTCCCAGTTTCCCTCTTTCTCTTGACAATCCCGATTATATTGTTTCGAAAAATTCTTGGGGGCCACTTAACCACACGGGGAGCCAAGATCCTGGTCCCTTTCTACTTACCAAAACTGACCACCTGGCCGGCTCCCCGTCGTGTATTAGGGCTTGTCCATAAAGGGTATATAATAAAGCCATGATGGTAGACTAAAATTCTATATAGATTATCATAACCATATATAAAATTCGAATATATAAGCTACCATAAGAACACCAGGAGCTAAAACGATCCATATCACCATAAATTTAATTAACTGTAGCAATTATTTATTAAATAAACGAGAGATTAAACTACTAAGTCACGTCAGTGTACAGATTACCATAACAATAGACTGTATTTAATCGATTTTACCGATTATTTTATGTAAAAAGTGTGGTTTAAAAACCATCTGTATAGAGTCACGTGGCTTTTAAAAACACCACCGAAAGCCACGTGACCTTATACAGATTACACATGTCAAAGTAATCTGTAACCAGCCTTAACAGCTGTACAAAGAGGGTGTGGTAAACGACCTCCTGCAATGCTCCGGCACTCAGACGAGAAATACTGACAGAACGAATACATCAAAATATTATCTCTCTCTCCCCCCACCCCCACGTATCAACTTTCGCGTTATGTAAACCCCGAAATTAAATTTTATTTATTACGTTATAAGCGGAGGGGGGTTGACGGTGTACTGTTTTATGAGGGGAATCGTTTCTGTCATCAGTCATTTATGCGGGATAGTTACGCATGATCTAGTATGGGGTTATGATTTAAACTATTGAATATGTTGGGACGTGGTGATTCCAATTGCCTCGGGCTGTGGTGAGAGGATACGAAAGAGAGAGAGAGAGAGAGGCAATTGGTTTGCACGGTGAGGGTCAATGTCCGTTATGTGACACTGATAAACAGCGAGGAGGAAACCAGAGGAAATTTAAGAAAACACATAGATTAAAAAATAAAAGAGAGAAAAAAAAGGCGATTAGTCGAACATAATTCTTGTATTTCTTCTTCTTTTTGTATTGTTAAAAAAAAAGGTAGTGTTAAGTAAAGTAATACAACTACATAGAATTTACTTTTAATTATAGTACATGCTTCACTATGTACTGTACTTATTTCTGTATTTATGTACTACTTTTAAATGCTGTACTTAGACTTTTGGTCTTCCAAGAGAACTCCAAAGAGTTGAATAGTCACAGGGGTTTTTGGTCTTCCAAGAGAACTCCAGAGTTGAATAGTCACAGGGGTTTTTGGTCTTCAAACTTATTGAAAGTAATTCTAACAAGTAGGGACTTGAAGACCCTAAAACTCTAACTCTAAGGAGTTACAGGAGCTTCAGATCTTCATTCAAGTGATTGGGGATTTCCTACTTTTCTTATAAAGCTGGGTTGAAATGATCCACGCCAAGCTTTTAGCCCGATATTTTTGAAGAGTTTTTGGTGCCATTGCTCCGTTAAATTTTCTAGAAGTTAAGAAAGAGTATTTTACGAAACTCGCTTCGGTTTTGTCGGAAGAAAAACAATTTCTGTGCCTATGCACGAACGAAGATAGCGTGTGAAACTTCCTGTTGTTATCAGCACCAGCAATAAACTGAAATATTAGGCAAAATTCATTAGAATTATAGCCTAACGCGTGATGGGGAGCCTGCCAGGTGGTCAATAGAAGTAACTACATAGGAACCGGAAGTCTTGGCTTCCCAATAGGCTGAGTGACCCACAAGAATTTTCCAAAATATTAAAATCAGGACCGTCGAGAGAGGGGAGCTCAGAATTTCCCGTGGACCTGAGAAAACAAGGGGCTCTTACTAGCCTAATTAATACTATTTTCGCAAACCGAAAGTAAAATGTTTAAGACTGTTAAAAAGAAGATGGCTAAAGGGGCCCATATAGAAGCAAAAGGGCCCTCTTAAACCTTATACAAAGCTTTCCACGGCCTCGAATAAAAAAAAAGTGAAATTCTTACGGGCCAATCTAGAGGAACCAGAACACTGGGGCCTCTTATAGACGCCAAGGACTCTTATTAGTGCTTTAAGTGCAGTAAGAAGGCCTTTTTCCATAGCCGTTGTGTGAAAAATGTTTTCGAATAGTTCTATTTTAAAATGTAGTGGGCTTGCTTCGACCAGTTTGTGTTCAATTAGTTCGATAATCGTGATTGAAAAGCGTGAGATCCACTTCGCCCCTTAGGGAAATTGGGTGTAACTTTAGTTTAGAGGCTTTACATATTTCAAATTATTGAAGGAAACACCTAAAGATTAGTGTCTTGAATAGTTACAAGAGCTTTAGATCTTCCAAGTTAGTGAAAAAAACTAAAGATTAGGATTTTTGAAGGTCCACTTCATCCCTACACTTGGGTTAAATGGATCGTTTGACAATATACTTTAAAATATCAATATCATCACCCCCAATAAACTTAGATGTATGAAAATTAGGACCTTCTAATAACTAATTGTGGTACTTCACAGTACAGTTAACTTAATTCTCTCTGTTATTGTTTTTATCACAAGTGATTTTGCTGACACTAATCCAATTCATCCCTCAGTGGAGCGTTATACTTTCATGCCCAGAGAAATTTTAATTAGGGGCCCCCATGTACAAATGTTGATTTCTTTAGGGGTAAGTTTTTTTGGGGAAATATTTTCTTATAAAAGATTGGTTCGGACCCCCTCCCCTGTTAACAGGTCCCCAGGCAATTGCCCATTTTGCCCATA